ACTCCACGGCTACTCATTATTTTATTTACATTTATTTGTCTCGTCGCATTTTATCCAAACTTGATGATCTTAGATATGAAAGTCCTTGTCCACCTGCTATATGCTTGCCATCGTGTCTGCCATCGCTTTAGTACAATGTTTCTGTCTTATCTCCGGAAAGAGGTTCCGTTTTTATATACTTGGTTTCTTTCCTCTATCAGTAGACTGATCGGAGTTGTCTTCGCAAGACACAGTACCACTAGTGTTGGACATGTGCAGTATACCGATGCAACCCGAAATGCTAACTTCCTGTTTATCCTTTCTAGCATGTTTTCGTAATGTTTGAAGCGCACGTATCTGTCAGTTTGGCGATGGCCCGAGTATGGTCGAATGAACTATACCGAAGCCAAGTCTTCATTTTTTCCGCGCGAGGTCTTCCGATATTCGGAATGATCCTTGGGGTTATTCTCATGCCTGAAGCATGGAAATAAAGTGCATGTATGAAGATATCCAGCTTTTTGCTTAGATACTCTGCCCTGCTTTGTCCGATGAGAACAACAGGTTAATTTTTGAAGCCAGTTTCACGCCCATGCCTTCCGACTTATCTTTAATCGCTAGCGCAGCTGTCTGTGCCTTTTCTTCAAGGACCGTCCGCATATGCTAAGATCGTTTTGCCCAGGCTTATACCGGTTCTAAGTATTTGATCTGAAAATATATTCCTGAGGATGCGTCCAAGAATGGAACCTTGAGGAACTCCGCACGTTATTTTGTATTTACCGCCGTGCTCCGAGATGGCATATCTATGTGACAGGAACGACTGTACCATGCGTGCAGGGTATGGACAAATTCCCTTATGCTCTAGTTGAGTTACATCCAGCCTTGGAGCCGAATTGGAAGCGTTCCTTATATCAAGGGTGTGTAATGCCAAAAATACGATATTTCAAATATATCCTAAGCTACACATTTTATGCCTAAGTTGGAAATATTTATTCCTGAATTAATCCCTAACCGCGAGGATGTGCCACAAGGGCTCCTATATTGATATTTCAATTTCAATGCTTGGTTGAAAAGATTGATCAACAAGATTGTTATGAATAAAAAGAGTCTCTTTTATAAATTTTCGCGTCTTCTAGTGCGTTTCTTTATCGACAACTCTACCACAGTTTACTAGTAATATAATACACTTTAGTTAATATTCGGTGATTCTACCGTTTGATCACTGAATGTGTTGTTAATTTATTTTACTTTTGTTTGAGTTTGACACGCATCAGAAGAAGCAGAGCCTGTCATAGACGGTAGGTAAATACCTACACTGATAAAAAAGATTGAGACTTGAACTAAAGTCGTCATCGTTCTTGAAAAAAAAATGTAGTGGCAAGAGAATTTATTTTAGCGTAAAAAAAAATATTTTGCCTGAAGAAAAACTCTTTTAACTGAAGAAAACTGGTTCTCTTGAAAAATTCGAAAATTTCTCTTGAATCTATTTTCATTCAGCCAAGTGCAAGTTACTTTGTTTTAAGATAATAAGAAAAATATGCTAGGAAGTACTTCATTCAAGAAACATGGCCATTTTTCCAATAGCTAAATACTCTTTTGATGAAAAATAATAACGACACGCAAAGACGATGACGAAGGACGGTATATACAATCAGTCGGCAGTCCGATCAGTCGTTTGTCGCATTTCATAGGTTGTAATGGAATTTTGTTAGTTGCTTGGAATTTTCCACTTTTCCAATTTTCCACTTGGCTTATGGAAAAAGTCTACCGATATGCGATATACTATGAAGATATTATGTTTTTTTACTAAAAATAAAAAAAAAAATCGCGAAAAAACCTGAAAAATATTTGCACTTATTTAAGACCCACCCTGTATATGCGTATATCTATCTAACGTCGTAAAATGTAACAATCTCCGGTCGACAATCCACCGCAGTCACTAAAGTTTGAAGGGGTGAGTCATGTGGCGACCTACCTTTGGGTGTTTTGGCTAAGGTCGCTTAAGTTCCAGGTTCTCTCTATAGATTAAAATAACCGTTACAAAAAAGGTCTATTTATTAAATAAAAATAGTCAGTATAAGTATAGTAAAACATGCCAGAAAATGGGCCTTATTGAAATCTCGACAATATTGCAAACGAAACTTTGAATTTAGTAATAAAGTTCAGTTTCCGCAAAAGCAGAGAGTTTTGAACAATACCAATCTGTCGGCAAAGGCTTGTTTTCTTAAGGAAACGGTGCTATATTACGTTTGAAGCCGGTAAAGATTTTGGCCTCAAGGAATGTCTGTCTGTCCCTAAAATTCCACGCTCTGTCTCTTTCTCTCCCTATAGGAATTATATTTCGCTGAAGAAACTTTCGCTAAGACCTGCTTAGAAACACTTTGTATGATTTTGCATTGTCGAATTTCATCTCAAAGTAGTTTGGATCTCTGCCAGTCGAACTCTGTTGTCTAATATTAAGAAATAGATATCTATTCCGTGGATTTAATGAATGAAATATAACTACCTATTATCTAACATTGTATTTTAATTAACGCGTAGTCTTAAAGTTAGCCTTTATTGTTCTAACTTTAAGTCTATATTTAAAATTTATATGAGGTCTATTATATGTTCATTTCTTCAAGTGTATATGAGCTGTGTTTCTGCTCTTATGCTTTATATTGAACTATTTTGTGGTGCTGACTTATAAGTTTGGAGCATTAATTATTTATGGTTTACGCAGACGAGACCATTAGCCATAGTTAGGCTAAGGCTAAGAACATAGTCGAGCGACAAGGATAACGGCGAGCAAGCAGCGCGATACCGTGTCGAGCAAGCCTCGAGGTGCTGAAACATAGTAGAGCGGCGAGGAATAGCGAGGTACTTGCAAATTTAGTATTTTCATATGCTTATTGATGATTTAAAATGTTAACAGTGGCTAAAATTCTGGGCAGTAGTTTAGCAAATATTTGGTTTATTGAAACCAATAAACCAGAAGGTGTAGTGTATATGAAATTTTCAAAAACCGGAGAGAGTGTGGTATTCGTTGTGGGAATTCATCGTTTTCTACAGCGCGACAGAGCGAAAACAAAAATTTTGAATCGATCTCGCCGCTCGAGCAGATCGCTTTACTATGTTCACACGTACTTGTCTTCGCAGGTTTATATAATATATTGTTCTTAGATTAAGGACAGAGTGTACTGTAGCAAAAGGTAACACACCCCTTCCATCCAAAGTATTGCCCCCAAACCAGTCTGGACTACCATCCCCCCTTCCCCCCAGTCCAGATTTTCAAAAACTTCTAGCTGAGCAAATCTCAGCTCAAAACTTCTTCGGCCCCGTATTCCAGCGGCTTTTACTCGAGCAAATCCAAGCTCAAGTCCAAGCCGCAGTTGCGAACATGCTTTCCGGCATGCTCGCTTTCCCCCTAAACCCCCAGCCTAAGCAATGAATTCCACTCATGCAAAAGGCCTCCTCATAGTCTCTTGGAACGCAAATTCCGTTTTTCCCAAACGGCTCGAGCTTCTCGATTTCATCACCCAATCCAGTCCCGACTTAATCCTAATCGAAGAGACTTACCTTCGCCTTCACACTTCATTCAAATTTCCCAGCCATCTCGTCTACCGCAACGACCGCCCTGACCGACGAGGCGGAGGCACCGCCATACTCGTCAAAAATTCACATCGCCACACACCTCTCCCAACACCCCTGCTTCGTTCCATCGAAGCAACAATAGTCCAAATTCAAACTTCCAACAGCCCTGTCGTTGTGGCATCCATCTACATCCCCAACCAGACCTCTCGCGAGGACACAAGACACGATCTTGAAGTGCTCCTCTCCTCTACCAAATTCCCAATCCTACTTGCCGGGGACTTCAACGCCAGACACCGGCGTTGGGGATCCCGGCAAAGAAACCCCCGAGGAACGGCAGTAGCCGAACTTCTCAACGACCTCCCCATTCAGGGCCACTTTCCAAGTGACCCGACCTGTTTTCCCTCCCATGGCCTACCTTCGACCATAGACTTTGGACTTTCTTAAAACATAACATCCCACATGTCAGTTTCAGTAAATCCCTCTGTCTTTGGGAAAATTGTCCAGTGTGTCAACCATGCTACTGAAGCTGGCTTATGAATGCTGTCCAGATCAAGTGTGTTGAGGTATCGGCCATGTAGCTATTTTCCTTGCCACTTGCTTAAAAAGAAATAAATAATATAAAAATAGCCAGCAATTTTTCCATGTTCTCCATGTTCCATTTTCCATCTACACTCTTCAGATAACATTAAAACCGAGATTAAAACAGATTTTTTTTACAAAATGAGTATATTTGGTATGATATTAGTTTGTGAAAATAGGTAGAATAATTAATTAAAAAAACTTTTTTTTCCGCAAACTCATTTATCAAATATGAAAATGATTACTAATTTTGAATAAAACAAAAATTATTTAACATTTTCGTGCCAAGGGAATCAAATTCGAATATTTCTTCCAGCCATTATAGAAGTGTGCGTGACGCAGGCATCTTACAATCTTATCGGGAGCATTAACAAACTCATTTACACCTCTTTATCAATTCGCCGGTCTGTAATTAGTTATTCTAGTGACGGGTGACGGCACATGGAAAACACAAATCTATATCTTGGCCTCCTTCTTCCTATACAGGATGCCAAACAATAGTATACTAAACTTTCAGTGGATGATTCTACAGATAAAAAAGACCAAAAAGTGCCTATGAACATACACCCTCGAAATATACACTCGCCGGCACGAAAAACGGGTACATTAACCCGTCAAGGACTGGCGTTACCATATGGTAACGTTAAACATAGGGTCCTTCTTTAACCACTGCATTAGAAGTTTCGTAATTATTGACAAGATGTCGCTAAGTATGCGCTTAAGAAATGACATGTAATGATTATTTTAGTATCGTTTTGGTTTTGTTAGTGAGCAGATACGTGTAAGGCGACAATTTACTGTGACGATATCGCAACGGTTTGAAAAATGGTGGACATAAATTTTGAGTAAGTATTTATTCCTTGTTTTTAGACATGTGGTAAGTGTTTGCTATGCTATTTTATTTTATAAATATGTATATTTTTGTATGTTATATTGTGTTTTACTACATGCCTTGGATTTTTTTGGCTAGGAGGTGTTTTTTACTGGTGTTACCGTATGGTAACGCCAGTCTAATGCACTATCAGTTTTTTAAAGAGTGTTTTTTTAGGCGCGGTTTTTCTTTGCAAGAGGCGTTAGATATGGCCTACTCGGAAGATATTGACGCTATTTACGTAGAACCACCCGATGCCAATGTTCTAACGGATGAAGACTCCGCAGATGAGGATTCTGGAGGTAAATAGACAATCTTTCGGGTAGACAACTGCGAGCCCGAGCCGAAGTAAAATTTTTTAGTAAAGAAAACGTTGATGCAGAGCCTGAAGAACCAGATCCTACCCCGAATAGTACTGCAGAGCCCAAACAGCTGGATATTCCTAGTACCAGTGCTTCAGCTTCGGTTCCATTGTACACTCCAAGGTCTAAAAGAAACTTCAGCTGGATTAGGGGTGATCTTCAAGCGCAGACAAGAGATTTTCCAGAACCTAATTATAAACAATATATGGATCTTTCACCTGTTCAACTTTTTGAGCTATTTTTGGACGACGAAATAATTACTTTTCTAATCGAGGAGACATCTCGCTATGCTCTGTTTAAAAACTCACCCGATCCTAAGGTTTCCAAAAATGAAATGAAATGTTTTTTAGCAATACTAATTGTAAGTGGCTATGTAGTATTGCCAGGGAAAAAATCATATTGGGAGTCACAAGGTGATGTGAACAATGCGATGGTGAGTGGTGCCATGAGACGGGACCGTTTTGTTCAAATCATGCGTTTTCTTCATTGCGCCGATAACTCCAAACCAAATTTGGACGACAAAGCGTGGAAACTTAGACCCTTTATAGAGAAACTGAAAGCTAAATATTTGCAACATTATCAGCCAGAAAAGCATATGAGTTATGATGAAAGTATGATAAAGTACTATGGTAGACATCCTTGTAAGCAGTTCATTCGTGGTAAACCCATCAGATTTGGGTACAAAATGTGGGCACTGAATACAACATCGGGATATTTAGTAAACTGCGAATTGTATCAGGGAAAAAATAGTTTACGACATGAAGTATACGAAAAGGATTTTGGAAAAGCTGCTGCACCATTTGTGTCAATGTTGGACAAGTTAAAAGGGGAAAAAGAGAGACCATATGAACTGTACTTTGATAACCTCTTTACTGGTTTAAATCTTTTAGAACACCTCAAAGAAAGGGGCTATCAGGGTACCGGTACCGTTCGAGAAAACCGCATACCCAAAAATTGTCCGATGTCAGACAAAAAATCTCTCGCAAAAAAAGAAAGAGGGACATACGAGGGGACTATTGAAAAAGAATCAGGTATTATGGTAGTTCGTTGGGTTGACAACAACGTTGTTAGTGTCGCTTCAACCTGTCACGGTATTTTACCTGTATCATAAGTAAAACGTTATAGTTCTGCCCAAAAAAGAATTCTTATGATACCTCGTCCATTTTTAATTGGTGAATATAACGCACACATGGGAGGTACAGATCTCATGGACGAAAACGTGTCAAGATACAGAATAGGTATTCGCAGTAAGAAATGGTGGTGGCCAATTTTTACCTGGTTTGTTGACGTAACTATAACTAACGCCTGGCAGATTCACAAAAAGTCTGGTGGACCGCTGACGCAACTTGAATTTCGAAGGGAGATTACAACGTGCTATTTACAGAGTTATGGAACCATTCCGAAGCCTGGTGGTCGACCCAAAACTTCAAAAACCAGTCTGTCGCTCAATAGAATTTCAGACGAGGTTAGATATGACGGAATGAACCATTTAGTGGTTGAAACCCCAAACAAGAAAAGAAAGAGATGCGCAGGTGAAGGCTGTTGTTCAAGCATTCGTACTATGTGCAACAAATGCAACTTGGGCCTTTGTATCCCATGCTTTTCTATATTTCATACCAAGTAAATGTTTGTTTGTTCAATATTTTCAAGCATTTTAGTTAAAATATCAATATATTTGTTAAAATTGTATGTTTTCATTTAAAACTTTAATATTTTTGTATAAGTTACTATTTTGAATAAAATGTACATTTAAAGGACTGGCGTTACCATATGGTAACTGTAGTTTTTTCAAAATGGCGTAAGTTTTTTGTTTTTTTTGCATAGAACAGTCTTAATTATGATCATATTAACATAAATTACATTTTAAAAGTTGCAAAAAATTCAAAATAAAAACTTCGCCTTTGACGGGTTAAAATTTTCATATATTTTAAAGTTTTATATATTGTGTTTTAGTGGACCGAATTTGATGAATTTTTAAGCAATTTGTAGCTGGATTATTTGACTTGAAACTTTCATTTTTAATCTAGAAAGAAAAACTAAAAAGTCAAATAATTCAGCTACAAATTGCTTAAACAATCATCAAAATCGGCCCATTTCAACAAAATATACTAAACTTTAAAATACATCAATTTAAGTTGCCCGTTTTTCGTGCCAGTGAGTGTATAATGTATATGTATATAAAATTAATATATTTTGCTTCTTTTAAGAACATTGGTGAACCATTTTTCTTGAAATTTGGTATACATAGGTACACATATTTTGATGGCAATAGGAAATGTTGATAGGCATGCCCCGGAAACTGATCAAGATACCGGGGTATATTCTTCAAAGGCGTCAAATGCATCGATATTGCTTCTCGGCCTTTCGGCTAAGATCAAAGTGTAGTATCCGTTCATGCTAAAAATGAAACTAATAATCCTAAATTTTTTAGTTTTTAAAATTTTTATAGCAGTGCCGCAAACTTGATGTGACTACTGTGGAAAGCGATCACGATGTTGCGACTGCGAATCAGTTTCAAATATCGAATCGTGATTGACAACAACTTGAACAAAATTGTGGAACACTAACTATCTGGTCTTGATTAATATAACATTAATAGATTTTGATTTTCATACTCCGGTCATTGGCATTATTGATCCATAGCGTTTGCTAGCGGTACGACCATGACGTACTTACAAACTGACGTGATAGATAGCGCCACTGGCAATATCTTACTGAGGGGAATGCGTAACGCCAGTTGAAGTTCCAAAAACAGCGGAGGTTCGGTATCGCTTCTCGGCCTTTTGGCTAAGATCAAAGTGTAGTATCTGTTCTTATCAGCTTAATATCTGATACGCCCCGCATGCGGGGCCAGTATATTAAACTGATTTTTGGAAACTGACGGAGGTTAGGGGCTTGCTCCACCTCTGTCACGGGTTGGCCTGGTATTGCAGTACCGCCAGGATCGGCCCAACTTTCAATGAATTAAAGATAATCATCACATATATAATAGTTCTATATTTTAATGATTTAAAGACATGTATTTTCCTCCAGGTGTTTTTGGTTGGGTGTGAAAGTTTCTTGGTACATAGAACAGTTAGGACGTTATATGATCGAGTTTGGTATTATACAGGGTGCTACCTACAGATTCGAGGTACGAGCAATTGGTATCTCGGTAACCGTAGATGGTAAAATTGGGGCAAAGTTGCGTATTGGGATGTTCACCAAGATGCCATCAAAAATGGTTTAAAAATTTCAAGGATTTCTGAGTTTTTTTGAAAAAACTGATTTTGTTGAAAATCAATTTCCTGTCGTTACATTTTAGAAAATCAAAAAACTCATAGCCCACTTTATTCTATCTATCTATAGGGCTATCTTTTTAGATTTTCAAATTAAATGATAATTTGTGAGATACATAGGCCAACTTAATTTTTTTAAATACGGATCGGCATTTTTTATTTCAGGTTTTTCAGAACTCGGTCTCCTGAATACAACGATAGGCCACACTTTATACTTTTTTTTGTTTTGGGTACCTTAACAGCAATAAAATCATTTAAAATAATTTTAATTTCGACTCTCGTTTCTTAAATTATTTAATCTGATTATTCATCGCAACAATATTGATCAGCGGTAATTAACATTGAATAAGGAAAATCGAGCCAATTGGAAAATAAATAATATCCAGGTCAGAAATTTAAAGATATTATTCTTAACTTTTTTTTAATAATATGCATAATATTAATCGTAGTTATAAATAAATCAACTTCTACAAACTAGTTTCTAATGTTCAACATGTTCAAAAGGGTTACCACCCTCCCTATTGCACAAATTTATTTTTCGTTCAATTTTATTTATAGCTCTTTGAACTTTCATCTTATCTTCCGAATGCATTTTGTTTATTGTAAATGCTGAGATGAATTGATTTCACTTTTACAAATGACGTCAAAAATGTAGCCCCTTGGCGATAGGTCTAGGAACTTCGTTGGACAAAAGTTTACAATTTAGAAGCTATTCTCAAATGGTTATTTAGTTAACCGACTCTTTTATGGTCGGTTACTTGGATTGGTTTTTATATATTATTATATTATATTAACGGAAACAATTGTGTATACAATTGGAAAGAAAATTCTAAATATATTATAAATATAGTAAAAAAACTGTATAATAAACGTCCTAAAGTCCTAACACCGTACGGCCAAAAACACACATTCAGATTCAGAACCATTCAGAAACAAGTCGAACAAAATAATTATCTTTAATTCGTTAAAAAGTGGGCCGATCCTGGCGGTACTGCAATACCAGGCCAACCCGTGACAGAGGTGGAGCAAGCCCCTAACCGCCGTCAATTTCCAAAAATCAGTTTAATATACTGGCCCCGCATGCGGGGCGTATCAGATATTAAGCTGATAAGAACAGATACTACACTTTGATCTTAGCCAAAAGGCCGAGAAGCGATACCGAACCTCCGCGGTTTTTATAATTTCAACTGACGTTACACATTCCGCTCAGTAAGATATTGCCAGTGGCGCCATCTATCACGTCAGTTTGTAACAGCATGGTCGTACCGCTAGCGAACGCTATGGATCAATAATGCCAATGAACCGAGTATTAAAATCAAGACCTATTTACAGACTATTTCCTGTTATTATTATTATTATTGATGAAATAGCCCGTTTGCAGATTTAGGACCAGGAGTTAAACAATCCTTGAACTTGCGATAGCCATTTCTTCTATAACATAAAGACGCAAATCTACTACGTTATTATTATTATTTAGAATCAAGACTAGATAGTTAGTGTTTAACTAACTTTAATTTTGTTTAAATTGTTCTTTAAATTGCGATTCAAAATTAACAACTTATTCGCAATCGTACACAGAGAGAAAGATTTAATTTATATAAGTGGGAGATATTTCTGATAATTAAATAATTTAATTCGTATCGGGCAATTAAATATGTAATTGAAGGAATTCAATTATTTAATTGGTAAATTTAATTGGTTAAAGAAAATCATATTTGCTATAAGTAATATTTTACAATACAGAAAAAAAAAACATGATTTAATTCTCTTAATAATAGTTTATTTGTTTCAGCATTATATTATGACATCTATAATTAATGATTGTCAACAAGAATATCTTGATTTAATTGTGATAAATAAATTATAATTTAGAATAGAAAGGTATATATTATTCCCAATTTTAATAAGATTTTTAAAACATATATATTTTATCCGTAACAGTAAACTTTAATTACGAGAACCATACCAGTTTTGTAACTAAAATTATTTTTTATTTGCGTAAATACAACATTTTTTATATGCAGAATTAAGATTTAATTGTAATAATTTGTTCAATATTCTGTAGGGCACTTGACTTGAAGTATAATCGATTCTCTTGATTCAGCAACACTGGGTTTCCACTTTTTTAACTTCATTGACTTATTACATATGAAAGAACATAATAGATAAGCCTGAATAAGGGTTCGTGAATCTGAAATTTGGAAAAAGATTATGTCCATCTGGGTTAGCGCATATTTATATGCTTTTGAAATTTAACATACCTTGTGATAATTCGCCTTGTACAGGTTAACTAAGAACTCATTGTCCGTGTTGCAACAAGTCTTTTTCTTAAGCTCCAATGCTGCGTCAAACAGAACAGAGAATTTCGTAAAAAAATTATTTACTTTTTCTGGATATTTTATCTCAAAATCTTTTTCAATCTGAAAATTAAGGCGTTTGGTATTAGAAAGAAAATCACAATGGTAATAAAGTATATAATAATAATAATAATAATAACAAAAAGGGCTTACTAGGATATATCCAAAATGATACTGAAAAATAGGTCATTCGTTTAAAATACAGGACACCGTCTGAAAGGTCGAAGTGGTCAACTGATTACGTCTGAAACTATTGGTTTCGATCCAATGCTTGAAAACCTCCTCAAACGGTTCGGAATGATGTTCGAGCCAAAATTTGGAATTTAAAGCTACTTCAGATATTTGATCTAAAAAAACATGAATATATAACGTGTGATAGTTTTTACAGAATAGTTCTAACCTTCTCCTGAAGTTCTAAATTCGTCATCGCATCGTTTCGGCTCTGGATTCCATTTTTGAAAGTACTCCTGCTTCCCTTAAAATGGCCAATTCGTTCTACAATTCACAGACTACCAAGAAATAGACAAACGCCAGTAATATTTTAATTCTGGAAGGCATGATTTAATTGCCACAAGTAAACTTTAATTTCTAGAATTATATAATTAATTTTATTCTTCCAATAAAATTATAATTATTAATTTTTTTTTTCATTATTATGAAAAATGTAATTTAACTGGCGGAATAAAATTTTGGTAAAAATGTTTAATTTTTTGGGTTTTTTATAAACTTAGCAAAGTTTTAGTTGAATAAACAATAATTTTATTGCTGTTACAATACATTTTTCAATTAAATATTTTAGTTGCATTAATTAAGTAGAAAAATTAATTAATTTTATAGCAAATATGCTTTTCTTATTCGAATTCATATTTTCTGTTTTGAATTAAATTATTTTTAAGAAAATTAAATAAACTGATTTAATACGCACGAATAATTTATTTCTCTCTGTGTAATCTCAGGATCGTTTTTCATAGTAGGTACAGTACAATCAAGTACAAAAAGCTTTTGATAACTAAAGAAATTAGTATTATTAGTTTCATTTCTGCCATGAAGAGATACTACACTTTGATCTTAGCCGAAAGGCCGAGAAGCAATATCGAAGCATTTAACGCCTTTAAAGAAAACCCCGGTATCTTGTTCAGTTTCCGATTTATGTCAAAAACATGAAAATAATAAGTTTATTTTAAACAGCAATATTTTAAGAACTATTGTATCACCGGCAGCATAAGCTGGTAGATTTCTGTCTTTCAACCTCCAAACTTCCTACCAATTAACTTAACAAAATCGTGCTCCTTCCGATAAAATCCGTAACAAAAAAATTGTATGGTTGCGAAAAGATTAGTTTTGACGACATGTATTCGCCATGTTTAAAATAATCTAGATCAACCAACATTGTATTTTTACTTTTCATTTTCCTGCTATTAACCCAATACACTGAAAAAAATATTGTTCATAATATTAATGAACATTGATTATTAACTGTTGTTTCATTGGGACAATGATTTTTTTCATTAATATAATGATTTGTTAATCATAGATCGATGTCCGATTTATTAATACTATGATTCTAGTTTCATCAATATAATGAAAATCTGGTTATTAAATCAATGTAAGATTTTCATTAATTAAATGAACGCGTTCATTGTCCCAATGAACGCATTCTTTATTTTAGACTTTAAAATAATCTAGATCAACCAACATTGTATTTTTACTTTTCATTTTCCTGCTATTAACCCAATACACTGAAAAAATATTGTTCATAATATTAATGAACATTGATTATTAACTGTTGTTTCATTGGGACAATGATTTTTTTCATTAATATAATGATTTGTTAATCATAGATCGATGTCCGATTTATTAATACTATGATTCTAGTTTCATCAATATAATGAAAATCTGGTTATTAAATTAATGTAAGATTTTCATTAATTAAATGAACGCGTTCATTGTCCCAATGAACGCATTCTTTATTTTAGTGCTGAAACTTTAATAAACACATATTCATTATATTAATGTACTATATCATTGATTAATGAGTTGTACATTGTGACAATGAACAATGTTATTAATACAACGAACACACTACATTATATTAATGTACGCGGTTATTAATATCATGAATAAAATATTAGGGCTTAAATGTCCGCCATGTTGATCGGTTACTTTGGCCCTTTAATAACGTCTGTGTGGTTGAGTTATTCAGTGAGGCTTTAGTTTCATTAGAGCGGTAAGTGTTCTCTTCAATATTTTAAATATTTTAAATAAAAGTCCTATCGTATTGTAGTTAATTTGTTGTGTTGTCAAATCAAATTCCGCTGTGTGAGATCTCTCTGGTATGGGTATTCATTAAAACAGCTGTTTCCAAATATGTTTCAGAAGATAAAAAACAAAAAGAAGAAAAACATAGCATAGGAACTGATTATGGTAAATTCGAATGTTCTTTTAATATTTGGCATTTTAATTATTTTGATATACGTCTTTTAGAACCGGAAGAAGATGTTGAGATCTGCCTTCAAGTCCTCAAATTCGACAATTTAACATCGGACCCACTTGATGCGACTTGGAAAGCCTGTTGCAAATTCGTCTAGACGTTATCAAGTCTAAGGATACAGCTAATATAATGAAGAAATGGTCTTTTTATAGAAATCCCTCAGGATACCGACTGGTAAATTAATTTTCTTATTATAATTTACCCTAAAATTAATAATAACATTACTATTCTCTTCGTCGATTCGATTTTTTTAATTTTTAATTTGTATATGCTATATCGAGTTTAATAAATTATTATTAGTTTATTGCACTTGTTTTTTATTAATAATCCCTAATGGAAAAATTTACTGTGCTCGTAAATAAGTCGGCACTATTAGTAATTTTGTTACCTTTGTAGCTAAGGGCTTGTTCAAACGGAAATCTATTTATCGTAGAATTATTTCAGGTAGTTGGCTGGGAAATGACTATCAATGACATTTCATATCAATGACATCGATCTTCATCATCGATTATACGGTGTAACAAGAGTTACTAATAGTGTCGACTTTTAAATGTATAACTAAATAGGTTATGAAATTATTTCATTGTATTAATGATGACGGTTCATTAATACAATGAAATAAATTTCATTGTATTAATGATACGGTTCATTAATACCATGAAATTATTTCATTGTATTAATGATACGGTTCATGAATATAAAGATTTAGGTACATTATATTAATGAAATCTGTTCATTGTACCAATGAATGTGTTCTTCAAATTAATAAACACTGTTCATTGATTTAATGAACTTAAAGTTCATAGAGTTAATGAATTACTTTTCATTGTGCCAATGAAATCGTTCATTGGCTCAAAATTAATGATTTAATTCATTATATTAATGAACTTTTTCATTATATTTATGTCGACTTTTGGTTCAGTGTAAGCCATGTCTGCATCTCTACACTGTACTTGTTTCGTGCAATTTACTAAAACATTTTATTGGGCTTGATATTGCTCCTATACCGAATCAACTCTTTGTATACTCGCAGTAAGCGTCATCTTACCGTTATTTCCAACTAAAGTCGTTCTTTTCCGTTCCGAACATCATGGAATCATACACGTAAGCTGTTAATCTGGGTTGCACCTGCCGTCTAAGAATCTCGATCGACAATTTAACGTCCAAGGAGAGTGAGTACCGGGGCTTTAACGTGTTTCACTTTAACAAACTCCATGCCGGACCGCCACGCCGTACAGTGGTTTAAAAGTGGAGAAAGGGCAAAAAAGTACTACGCATTACCATGTTTATATGAAAAAATGATTCTTGTTGCTAACTTGATGGTTCAGAACGTCATCGTTTTACTTAAATTAGGAGAAATAAGTATAATATTGTTAAAGAAATTTATGATTTATTTTATTAAAATGCATTTTGCAATATATTCATGCAAACTTAGGCCAAAAAAGGTAAAAAGAAATCTGTAAAAGAAATTTATAGAAATAAAGTTGGACAAATCATAGGGAGCCTATGTGATTATAAGACTAAAGACAATCAGATATTTATAATAATTCTATTCAAAAATAATAAGTCTAATATTTTTGTCGTTTGTTTTAGTTTTCACCCTTCCAGTACTTTTTCTTGATTTTTGTGACAGCACATAGCAAAACATAGGCGCCCCAAATCACATTCAAATCGAAATATTGGGTTTTAAGATATTTTAAAATTAAATTGTTATATTATGTATTTCTCTGTGTATTCTAATTTGTTATTTTTTTTTAAGTTTGATACCCTCTAACGGAGAAACGAAGCACCTTTGTATAGAGGTAAATTGTTAGGTTAGGTCCAATGAACTTACCTATTTTGATTCCAAAAATATGCTGTAGTTCTCTGTCCACGGAATATTGGGTCACTCTGTATACATGTCAATCCAATTATCATCTTATTTAGTAGATATAGGGACACTTGAGCCAGACAAAAGACTTCTACTGATTTTGTTGTCTGCTTTAGTGTTTTTGTTTTTTGTTTTACTGTTTCTTTTTCTGTTTTTACTCTCCGTTTCACTAGTTTGCCTCGCTCTTTATTGAGGTATAAAAGTTGACAGCATAAAACCAGTAAAACTGATCAAAATCAGCAAAAGAAACAGTAAAAACAATAAAACGGACGGATAAAAGAATGAAGCAGATAGTAAAAACAGTAAAGAAGACAGCAAAATCAATAAATGTCTTCTGTCTGGCTCAAGTATCCCCATACCTACCTACTACTTTTTCTAAACTAGGTTGAATAAATTAGGGTATAGTGCCTCTTTTTAATAAGCATTATACCTAGCAAATATGAAGAAGATATAGCAATCAACGATAATGACAGAACCATGATGTTTTTGCTGGTAATCCAATTGTAAAAAATGTCTATACCTATGTGGCGGATTCATCTCCCCAAAAGATCCTATATGGGTATTTCGCCACTGCAAGAAAATCTACAAAATAAAATAGTTATTTTTTGTAAACACTTCTGTGTTAAACCCAAACGGAAACTACTTGTCAGAAGTTACGTTTACAGTTATACAAATTTGCCTAACAAACAAAAAAATGCTTAACGTTTCAGAAAGTTTATCTTTTTCCGTCGTCGGAAGCCAAAAAATACAAAGAATAAAGAAAAAAACTATTTAAACTATTTAAATTCAGCTATTCGAGAACACTTTAGTTTTTTAAAACAGATACGTCTACAAAAACCGTTGACGTTCTGTTAAAAATAACAACGTCAAAATGTTATTTTTAACAGTTTTTGCATTTAAAAGACCGAACTTTTCTTCTTATGCATGATGTAGGTTGCACACCAATCATTTTCCCTTTCTGTTTTCTTTAATCTTCGTAATATTTTTTTTTTCTAACTGGCCAGCTGTTTTTATCTACTGTAGATACTTTGTAAATTTGTTAATAAGTATCGTACTTCTCGATAGTTTTGCAATTCCCGCAATTCTTACATGTTCAGTCTCTATTTTATTTACTTCTTCCATCGCCTCATAGTCCTTTTCATCTTAATAAACAAAAATTACATCTTAAGATATTCTACACTAAAAATGCAACGACTAAAGACTCATATGGATAGGACTTTCTTTTATATTTTGCACCCTATCTAGAGACTTTATTAAACGGTTTTATTTAGCTCGACCCGTGCGGTATTTATTTGTTTGTTTATTTGGATCAAAATTAGAAATTGAAATTTAAGTACCTTCCTGTTGTCAGATTGATCTGAAATTTGGTACACACCTTTAGTTCCGATGACAATACAATATAGTAATATCAATAACATTGTAAATCTAAGATGGCCGCCGGTACAAAATGGCGGATTTCATATTTTCACAACCCCCTCAATATGGGTATCAAATGAAAGGGCTACACTAGTAGAATACTGTGATTATGACAAAATTTAAAATCCAAGATGGAAGTCGTTACAAAATGGTGTATTAGGTGAGGGCATGAGTAGTCGTGTCCAGAACAGTTGTGTCCAAGATTGTGTGACGTTAGAAGGACAGATAAAAAAAATAGGTGATTAGATGTACCTACGTAGTTAGCGGTAGCTTTACCACCCAAGTTAAGGTAATAGGTTAAAACGTGCTGAGGAC